TATTTTTCAATTTAGGAGTATTTTATTAAATAAAATGAAAATACCTCTAGTAACGTTTCTTGGTGTGATACGTTAGGAAATAATTTCCCTACTTCTTGAAAAATTATATAACACTGTAATGTATAATTATATATTATATATAATATTATATAATATAATATAAATTATAATATATTATATATAATATAATATTATGTAATATAAATTATATTAGGGAAACTTTGTACAATGCATATATGCACATCTGTAATTCACATTGATAAAATATTCTTAAATATTACTATATATTTTTCATAGTAATATTTAAGAATCTATTGATTATGTATTTTAGATTTCAACTATTATTTATTTTATATTTATATTAACGCATTGAGGACGGCATGCTCTGATAAACATATAACCTGTGTTTTCTCGTGTTTTTTGAATTATTTAATTAAATTGAATGAATTAAAAGTGTATTATTTTATTAATAATTAAAATTACTAATTATTTTTCATTTTAGAAGTGTTTTATTAAATAAAATGAACGTTTCTTGGTGTGATACGTTAGGAAACAATTTCCCTACTTCTTGAAAACTTGTATAACATTATAATATATAATTATATATTATATATAATATTATATAATATAATATAAATTATAATATATTATATATAATATTATATAATATAATATAAATTATAATATATTATATATAATATTATATAATATAATATAAATTATATATAACGTTGCCTGGATCGTGTCCCCTACAACGCAAAATAACGTTCCCCGTCCGCGACGTTGTTAACGCGAAAAACGAGGATGGATTCTCGTCTCCCGTTCGCAACAGTTGAAAACTGAAAGACCGCGAATTCGCGTCTTCCCGTCCACGATATGATATGTTGTAACGCGTGGTCGAGATCGTCGTTTCCACAGGTTTCCGGTTTAGCTGGCCAAGCGGAAAATGCAGCTGGCTTGGCCGGAGGGATCGAACCGTGGCCATGGGGATCGGATCGACGATCTCGAGGAATCTGATCCGGCGTGAATGATCGCGCGGAAGGGAACCGATCGCGTTCACGTGCTGCACGCCGGTGAATAAAGGACAGGGGCTCCTTATTAACGGCGCGGACTCACCGAGTGAGTCCGAATAATCTGTGGAAACGATCTTCGTGACAGCCTATAGATCGTATCTTGGGTGGTATATGTGCCGGCACCTACGTTCAACACTTAGAAGCCCTAATTATACGAGGAGGCACAGAATCCGGGCTTAAAAGCTTTATATATAGAGCGGCTTGATGTATCGCGGGAACGTTTAGCGTAGCAACCGCGTTTACAAACACCGGTCGAACCAACGCCGGAAGATAATCGTACTACATTTAGCTTCGTTGGGTATTATAGACATCTTGGATGCACGGGTTGTTGCGTTTTCGGCAGGCAAACGCTATTGCATCGGGCGGGTGTTGTAGATTTTCGACGATTACTTCGCGTCGGTACGTTTTACTCCTTTTGGTGATGTACGAATCGTGTTTAATATTTGAAACGGCACGCTCTAATACCTTTGCTTTCCTCTCGAGCATTTCAGTTATTTTAAGACGTCAAATAAAGACGTCACAATCGCTTAACGGAGGATTGAAGATCAAACTTAAAGTGTCAAAACGTGTAACGTAAAGAGTCTTAAAAGTGATATTCATGTTTCGTAACACTTTTCTATTTCTTGCAATAATGCTGGTATAAGAGATGAAATGTGTCAAAAGTGTCAAGAATAATATTCGTGCTTTATCCCGTTTTATTGTAAAAAAAAGCGAGTTTGAATTTAAATTCAGAGACATTCGTATAAAATTCGAACAATACGAGAGCTTATACGATGCGACAAGTAAAGTTGAAGAGACCAAAGCCTGAACTGCAAGATCAGTTCAACTACGATGTTGCATATTCTCTCGTGGCCGTAATTTTAGAGATATATTTATTCTCATCACTCATCCGTTCCAGTTAGTGGCACACGCTTCTATGCATCTTCGTTTTGGCATTCGTACAAAACTGCCGGGTAAGATATTAGTGGCTAGTTGTAAGCCGAACGATCCATATATAACGTCCCCTGTACTGACACGAACCTTATGCACGTCAGACATTAATTAATAAAAGATAACGAACTCGTTCCATAAAAATTCTCGTTCCTCCCGCTCGTTCTCTATCGCCTTGCAATTAGCTTGCAGAATTTTTCATGCAATAATTCATATTCTTGAAAATCTGATTAAAAAGCGCACGCGTAAAAGAGAATTCCTTTACGTGTCGAATATCACGGAAATCGTTACTCTTTGAAATGTTTCCTACGTTCCGATGCAATTTTTCAAGGTTTTTAAATTTTCTATAAACTCGCGTAAAAAAAAAAAAAAAAAAAAAAACACTCGCAGTCCGCTTGCGCAAAGGTAATTTTATCTCTTTTAACCAGGGTGAAATTATCGAAAAAGCACGGCAATTTCATCCAACGCGTTCTTGCTTCGTTCGTTCCTGACTCGTCTATTAGCAACAAGCGTCGGCGGAAAATTTCAAGCGACGTTCCCTAATTGTGAAGTCGTCGAAACAGGTGCAACACGATAACTCCCCGTGTAGAAGGATAATCGCAAGGGGGACGCGATACCGTGAGGTTTGCCTGGTCGTTCAGACCGTACTCCCCGGTACCTGGGGCCTTCTATCGGACAGACGAGAGAGAAAGGGTATAACTGGATCCGAACTTGGATGAAACTTGCAGGAAAACTGCTCCTGCGGGACGCGTGAGTCGGGCTAATACACTCCAAGGATGTCACAAACGAAACTCGTGACAGCGGCAATCTCGAAAGGCGCCATTGTACTCGTTAATTCGGGCTAAACAAGCACGGTAAATTTTCGGAAAAGATATCTCTCGACACGAGAGAGGGAACACTATTCCACTCCGACGGGACGCCGGGAGTTGGCTGTATGAAATTTGTAGATCTTATCGCGTCCCACTAGTTGGAGACGCTTTTCATTTCGGTTGATAGCGGAACGCGCTACGGCGCGCGTCTGTAATTCTTGTTTCGCCCAACGCCGACGCCAACTGTAGAGAATCTTTTTGTCCAACTGCTTTACATCCAGCTGGCTGTTTCATTCCAGAAATGGAGCGACGAGAAATAGCCCGGGAATCGCTGGAAATTTGCCCGGAATTTTCATTCGATGATCCGAGACAAAGGAGCGAATCGGAACGATTCGAGTTGATTTGTTCTCCTTTCCTTTTCCTTGTACAAATGAATAAATTTTTCACGCGAGTAGTGAGAGGACAATGCAGGACGTGTGCAAATAATTACAATTGTCTGTAATAATTCAGAGTTACATGTGCTGTAGAAATAAACTTATGTATAAGTAATATTTACGCAATTGTAATGAAATTCAAGTTAAATAATAAGTTTAAATATAATATGAAAATATAATATAAAAGTGTAAATGTATAATATAATATATTATATATTATATATTAATATATAATATAATATAATATAATATAATATAATATAATATAATATAATATAATATAATATAATATAATATAATATAATATAAAAGTGTAACTTATCGAAAAGGAAGAAAGTTCAACGGTCAAACGCTGATCTACGATGTTTCACAATCTACGATGTATCGCACACGTGAAAAGGGACTTGCTCTTTCCCCCAAGCGAGCGATCAGATCGTAAAGGTGAGAAGATAACGCTTAATCGTGGGGAACAAGGGGAAACGAATCACTCTTGGCTGGCAGCGGAATCAATAAACGAACCTCCCTTGAATAGCGACACCGAGATGTTTTTACCGGTTGCTTATCTATTAAACGTTCAGCGGGAAAGAAATGAAGTTTCCTGTATAAGGCGTGACAGGAACATACGGCACAATAAAACTCGGCTAATTTATAACTGGCCTGGAGAGAAGGCTCTGGACGCTGGCCGAGAGAACATCGGCTTGTCTCCTTTACAATGAGAGAGCCGGCTTATAGACAGATTCCTTCGCCTTTGATCGCCGTCATAAAGAGACACACCTGATCAAAGACCAAGAGAGATCGCGTCACGAAGAATCCATTCGATTCTCTCTCTCTCTGTCTCTCGATGTTTCGACCACGCGTTCGCGTTCGTCGAACTTTTCGATTTCGTCACTTTTCGGGAACGTCGTTATAAACATCAACGACGCATGTGTACATTTATCCGTCGAACAGTCCCGGGGAACATGCGGGAACAGAGAACGAGGCGAGAGGGAACAAAAAAAGAAAAAAAGAAGGAAAGGGAAAAAAATATGTACCGAACGTAGAATGCTATCTGATTTGTAATACCCGCGGGACCGGTATTTATCACACGTCCGAGTGCGCACGTACTTTCAAAGTGGTGAAAAACAGCCGCGATAGCGGACTCGCTGACGAAACAGGTAATTTGAAACGTGGACGCGCGCCGAACACTGGTTTTAGCCTTTGAAAAATTCCCTGGACCCGCCTATTTTCGTTCCGTTACCGGCGCGAACGCTCGTTCGCTCGTTTCATTCGCCGAGAGCGTTCGTTGCTGCAAGAAGAGAAACGTCACTGAAGCTCGTCCGATTCACCGTGACCCCAAAGATACTTCCCTCTTTGCCGGGACAATGCAAGAGCACGCTTCGTCGTCTCTCGAGAAACGAGAGAGAAGGGGACACACTGGGGAAGATGATACACAGCCCTGTGGCTGTGTAATGATTAGACCGGGATGCCAAGCCCTTGGAAACGACGATACTCGGCTCGTTGATGCGCCTACCGAAGCAAGAGAAAAGAAAACATATCTGTCGCGCGATTGTTCGCGAAACGGCGGTGAAAGGGGGAAAGTGGCGGGAAAGTGTCGGGAAAACGAGCTCGTTGCCTCGATTCACGAGGAAACGAAGGAACGAACGTCTTTCTTGGGAAAAAAACTGGTCTGTCGGACGGCGGTAGCGATAGTTTCGAGAATACAGTTAGCGTGCTCGTGGTTACAACGAGAAAGCCCGGCCCGTAGATGCTTTCTCGCGTTGCTTTGATCGGGAACGTAAAAAGAGGAGCACCTGACCGGAGCAAAGAGCCTGTCTCGCGGGGAGAAAAGCATCGTCGTAACGGAGTCTGCGTGTTGCAACGACGACACTCAGGGAAACGGCGAGGGCCGAGGAAGAGGATGGAGTCCCCGAGAGCCTGGTGGGGGTAGATCAGAGGGAGAGGATGGTGGAAGCGAAATCTGGCCTCAGTCGTGCGCGACGCGCCATATGCGGTGGACCATTTGTCAAGGCGCTCACAAAGGCCAATAATCTCGCGTGACACGTGTGATTCCCCGATAAAAAGTGTCACGTGCTGGCTGCACACCCCTCTACGAGCCGGAGGCGAGCCAACCCCTCCCCAACACCACCACCGTCGTCGCCGCTTCGCGAAACTTGACGGAAAAACTTTTTCCCTTACCGGAGCCGCTCGACAATCTCGTCCCGCAGCACCGAGCGGAGAACACGCGTCGTGCCTCGAACGCCTCCGTCGTATTTCTTTTTTTCTTCCTCGCGATTGAATCGTCCGGAGGGAAAACTAATCTCTCCTCGGCGGAGGAGGCGAAGAGCAAAAAAAAAAAAGGAAAGCGGCGAAAGAGAGGCGAGATACTTTCTCGTGCGGTGGACACCAACGCTGGGGATACTTTTTTTCTTTTCGGCACTTTTTTTTCCGAATCGGCAACGATCGAACTTCCAGTTGGAGAAGTTTGGACGCGTTGTCGCCGCCAAATGTAAAAGCCTAGTGGTTGGAAAAGACGTTGGAAAGGAGGAAAGTACGAGAAACGAGGGTGAACGTCCATTTCCCTCCCCTCGCGCCAAAGTCGCAACGAACGAGGATCAAAGTGGCCGTACCGCGACAGTCGATCGTGAAGCGAGAGTGAAAGATTTACGAACGAAGATTTACGTCCGCCGTGGCGATGGAATCGGTGTGATCGAGCGAAACGAACGAGGAACACGTCGGATTGACGGTTTAATGCAAATTGCTCTTTCTACTGCTACCGGTACCGTTGATCGTGTGTGCAACGTGTCCCGACGCCCGACCGCTGATGGACAATCGACGACGATCTCGTTAAGGACAGCCGAGGCGGAAGGGAGCGAAGAAATTTATGGTGCCGACGATCGAACGAGGTAAGCCGCAAAACATCGACTATGGTTGCTAATTTTATGCTCGAGGAGGTTTTATCGGGTGGCCGGTAGGCGGGGCGAAAAATTTATTCAAATTGAGTTGTCGAATTTTTCTACTCTCACGGGCCGGCGTGACGCCAATGTAATTTGAATGATAAGGAGACACCATCGATTGACACGCTTAACTCGCGTATTAAGAAGCACGTGTCCCGTCGATCGTGAATCGATGTCGGACTTCGGCCCGATCGAGGCAAGTAGATCATCCGTGGAATCAAGGTCGACGATTCGTCGTTTCATTGTCGCGAGATCGATATTTATTCTTTGCCCCTCGCCATATCGTTCTCTCTCTCTCTCTTTTTTCTTTCGTCCCGTCCCGTGATATTCCTTAACGAGGCCGCGTTAGGAAACAATTGAATACATTTCCCCCAAGCATAAGGGAGGGGAGGGAAACATCGGATAACATCGTCGCGCATAAAAGAGTAACGGGGCCGGAAAAAATTTTCCCGGCTTTCGGTGAAAAAGTTTGGCGCTAGGCTATTGTGCCGGCTCCGGTATTAGCCCTCTTTCCCGACAATGTGCACGCCACAATAGAACGCCGGCTTATTTAACCTAACGTAACCGTAACGCGTGTAGTTGGGATGCACCCGGGGAAAATATACAAACTGCGTTTCCGAGAAATTCGCACACCTGTTGGCACACTCCAGCAGCGGCAAGAAAGACGCGATTCTTCGCCAAGCACCCCGATGATCCTCTTCCCGTGCAACATTCTGCTCCGTGCTTTTGTACAGCGATACACCTCGAATGAGATACACCGCGATCAAAAATGGAGGGAGAAACTGTTTGTTCGATTCTCGCAACGCGGTATCAAATTGAGATATAAATTCGGGAGAGAACGGGAGTGAAGTGGAAGTTGTAACTGGGGATAGAAAAGGCAGACATAAAGAGAGATAGAGAGAGAGAGAGAGAGAGAGAGAGAGAGAGAGAGAGAGAGAGAGAGAGAGTGAATGAGTGAGAGAGATAGGAACAAAGAGAACGGAATCGAGGTATCGCGCGTTACGCACATTCACGCGATCCATCGATCACGCGGATTTACCATGCGAACGGTATTTCGCATCTGCATACGCGTTTTATATTTAGCGCTGGCTGGCTGGTAGAGCGCGCGTTATCGCGCATTGCCTCGTATTAAGGCGGGGAATAATTAATTCGGGCCGTACGATTCACAGATTACAGCTGCTGCCCGTTAATATTTAGAGGAGGAACGAATTGAATCCGAATATTCGCGGGCTGGTCCCGCCTGTCTCTCTCTCTCTCTCTCTTTCGTTAAACGGGTTTCCAAAGGCAATTAACCATAGCTAACATATTTGTAACACTCGATGAACGGGGCTGAAAGCCCGCGAGCCGTGACTACGCGACTCTGATTCCCTCTCCCTCTCTCTCTCTCTCTCTCTCTCTTTCTGTCAGGGTAAACATCGCGCTGGTCCGCATATGCGAGCAGTTTAAACGTTCGTACGTTATCGTGACTACAGGTCCGGGGCCGCGCGGCGAGCGCCTGCCTGCTTCCCGGAATCGATAAATCGTGTTTTTCGTATATCGGTCCGATCCACGAGCGGGCTCAATGGCCTAGAAAATGCCCGGTGTCGATCTTCTCGTTCGTTGGTGCGCGCGCGAACGTCACCTCTGTCCAAGGGGGAGGTTCCAAAACCCGGGGGTTAACGATCTGGAGAGTTTGGCCACCGGCCTTCCGGACAGCCGTTCGGGAAACTCCGTGCAACGCCGCGGTTGACACGTTCCGCGATGAAATTGTAAATGGCCCCGTGAGACGGCTCGCGAGACTCCGAACTTCGAGTACCTACCCGGGGGGGAAATACAATATCTCGCGACGGTGCTAGAGCAGACCGTGCGGGGTAGAAAACGCACTCTTTAAAACGTAGTAGCCGTCGCGGTGGAATTTTCACGAGAAAAGAAAGATGCCTCGCCACTTTTTCGACGCAACCGTGTTTGACACGTTTTCGAATGTTTTAACTATGTTTTCAACAGACCTGGAAACTTTATTGCGGGATTACTCGTTCGATGATGGAAGGGGGGCACGAATTTTCTGATGAAAATTTGAATTGGATTGTCGTCCCATTTATATTTGTATATTATAACGTTTATATTAAAACGTTTCAACGGCTCGATTTTTTACAATTCGTATATTATTGCCTCCTTGTGTTTCATTTCGTGTAATTAAAAATTATGAATATTGCAGAAAGTTAACTGCTCGACGAGTGTTGAAAATTCGCGGTATTAACGTACGAATTGAACGAAATACGCGTAATAAAATATTCTGCTTGGAAAAATAAAGCACAAACGTAACAGCACCAGGGCCGAAATCTCCTACTAAATTTTTACTGGCAACAGATGGTGAACTATTGATGTTTACTTTTGTTTTATACTACAAAACCACGAGTATCGGGGTATATACGAAAGCTGTGATTTACGACCTTGTGGAAAATATCTTGCTAAATTATTTAGATGCATTTAAATTGACCTTATCTTTCACATCGCGATAGTCTACTCGAGGTTGTATATATCTGTAGCGTTATGAATATCTATGATCAAATTATATACACATGCGGGCAGTATATTTCGTACGCCGAATATATCCTGGAACCATAAAACTGTGGAAAACTGTCGAAAAATTTTACGATCAAAGTATAATTTGCACTAACGGAACGTAACTTAAATTTATCGTTTCTATTGCGACCGTTCATTTTGATATTTATTGAATATTCGACAACGTTCAATTTAACATTGCACAGTTCGTTTGCCAATGAATCTAATTGAGCCGATTGAACAATATCCGGTTAGCTTATGTTTAAATTTGCAAGTTCAACAGTAGATCGTCGCCAATTTCATTTGAGCGAATAGACTTTGATTCGTTAAACGAATCTAATTGGCCTTGTCTACAGTTTACGAATCATTGATTTCCAGTGATTTCAAACGGTGACCGCTCCGATACAACGATACGTACGTCGAGCGTTCCTTGCGGCGTTCCATGTTTTTCAAAATCTCGCGCAACGTATTCTGTTTTATAATAACGGGACCGGGCAATCTGGCAATCTGGCGCTCGCTTAAAATTTAATTTTAACGTAATGTATGTATATTGTAATGCAGGCAACGTTGCGCGTCCAAAACGTATTGAAATCTTGGAAACCGTCCAATAAATGACGTTTATCTGCATATAAAATAATGGTTTAAATATCGTTTTAATATATGCATTAATCCTCCGGCTATATTCGGATTATTGATTTTGGATAATGAAAGTAGTGAGTATAAATGATTAAATCTCGCGTGTTCGTTGGAAAATTTTCACGTGTCGACAAATGCTTTTCAATTTGAAAAATGACAACAAAATTTGTTGTTCAAACGTTCGATAAAACCGCGAGACGTTTTAAAACCAATCATTTCATGTTAGATTGTATCAATACACATTAGTTTCCACGTGACATCTGTGGAGAATAATTTTTAACTTTCTAAGAAATCTTGCTCGCAAGTTATCAAATCGTTAAATCACTGATTTATAAATCGTTAATAAACGACATTAAATTTCAATATTGATCAATTTCACGAAGAATATAGATTTGACATAGATATTTCCTTTTCATGTCAAATAAATTATTATCAACTCGAAATTTCACACGCAGAGATCGTAAAATTTCCACATCCATTTATATCTGAAAATTAATGAGAGATAAAAACGCTAAGAAGCACGTGAACATCGAAGTGAATCGTTTAATTAGGCGGAAATTTTTGAAGAATTTAAACGGTAAACCGAGCTGTTTTAATAGACAACTTGTCGATAGGATACATCAAAAGCCGTGGCTAACTAATTAGCCAATCAAACAGCTTATTAATTAGCGACCATACGTCCCGCATGATGACTGAGTAGTTATTAACAGACGTTCGTGTTACTAATACCCGCGGGGAACGCGAAATTCGACGTATTGCCTGGCACCGGATCGATTTTCTATGGATTGATGTACGCCGAAGCAGATTACCAGATTCCCTGTCAAAGTGCATTAGTTAGATCGATTGAAATTAACGTTTAATATATATTTTCCTTCTTTTCTCATTGTTGTAAATTCGTTACATAGAACGAGAATGATGTATTATCACGCGTGTTCCCCCGAAAGGGGGTGAAATAAAGTTAAATACCGCCTGTGTCACGTATCGACGTACACAAACACACACGTAATGGTAATCCATAAAATGACGCGGCAAGGGTGATCGATGAAATTTTCGATAAAAGGATATAAATTAACAAGAAAGCTGTTGAATTCGTTCGATAGCGTATAGTATAGCAACCAGCATTTCACTGGCGAGAAAAAAAAAAAACAAAAAAAGAAAAAGAAAAGAAAGAAGAGAAGGAAAGTTCGCTCTTTCCATTTACTCTGTCGGTATTCTTTTCAACTTGAACGATAATACTTTCAACCTTCGCTGTATTCTATTTTTTCGTCTTGCCCGTTCTGCGTGGATTCAATCAGTCGAAATTGAACGCACGTATCTGTTGAAATGTAATATCATGAGGGAAAGTGGGGTTTCATTCGATTTAAAAAGCGATTAGCCAATTACATGCGGGGAATAAATTCGGCTTGCCTGAATTTGCAATTTAGGTCGCATTAGGTAGAACGATGGTTAACGCTGCTCCGTGCGTCTGTTATGGACCAGCTGAAATACTTAACTTGCAATTAGAAGTCCAATTACCTGCTATCAAGTGAACAAAACGTGCCGCGTTTACGTATTAATGCTAATTCAATGTAGACAAAGAAGTGGAACTTCTTCAATGTTCGAGGGAAGGAGATCGAAGTAGTTAAAGTGAAATAAAGGAGGGATTAATTACCTGGGCATGGAAATGCGATTAGTCTAATAAAGTTATTAATTATATTCAATTAAAAATTGTTCTAGTAAGATTGATTGCTTCTCGTCCAAGTTTTAACACTTTAAAATTCTTCTTCCATCTC